GGACTCACGTTCTGTCTGGTCTGCACTTCGTGTCTCGCCTGTGCTGCTTTGTTGAGAGCCCTTTGCATCCGTCTCCCCTTTCTTTTAAGATCCTGTCCAAATTGTACCTTGTACGGGGACATCCAGGACTAGCCAGTGTTGGTAGAGAAACAGCCCGGAGCCTTCGCTGGTAGCATTTGGTGTCAGCCGGCTTCGTGACATTCCCTTTTGTCAGTGAAGGTAAGTGTCACCCCCCTGCGGGCTCCCCCAGCGGAGGTAGGGGCTTGGTCTGCGAGAGTGGCTGGAGGACATGGCCGCATCACGCCGAGAGCCCCCATGCTGAGAGCCCCAGTCTCTGCCCTGACCTCCCTGCTTGGCCAGGGAGCGGGGAGGTGTCCCTGGAGGTGTTTGCTGTCTGTGATGTCCTGTGCTGCCCCCACCACTCGCCTGGGGGCCTTTGGCCAAGCCTAGGAGGAAGAGTATTCTGCTTTGAGAAGGATGACGGCAGTGCCCAGCTTTGATTGGACCGAGAATATGTTCTTGGCCGGAATCTGTTTGGTGTTTGGCATCTTTCCCCGATAAAGGAAGTCGTTCGTTTTGGGGTGATTCTCTCATATCTGCACGGGCATGTTTCCTTTTAGGCCTTTCTGCCTGTAATTATACTTGCAGAATACACTGTCATCAACTTGAATTTCGGAACATCTTATCTTAATTTTGTCTTAATCTCCTGCTATTTTTGGTGGAGGAGTTGGTGGAGAGAGCCACAGCCATCGTTCCTTGATGGGCGGTTGTTGGTAGATTTGCGGTCTCATCAGAGCTCATTCCGGAGGCTGCAGCTGTAAGGGAGCCCCATGTTCCTTGGGGCATCTAGCTGATCCCGAGTTGGGGGCCGCGACATAGGGGAGCGCTGTGTGCAGCAGGCCTGTGGCTGCTGCCGCCGCTCTGCCGGAGTCCGGGGCAGGCCACGCTGGCCCTCCTTGGACTGCAGACTGTGTCGGCAGATTCCTAGCAGCCCCTTCCGGGTGGGGGAGACGGGACCCCTAGACTGAGAATCTCAGAAGGACTATCCTTTCCCTCCTGTTGCAAGGAGGTGTGTCTCCGCAGCCAGGCCCGGTGGCAGGGGTGCCGTGGCGCTGTGGGGAGCAGCACGCCCTCTGCTGCCGTCCGTGTCCTCTGTCCTGCGTCTGCTCCACTCACAGCAGCTGCCCTCGAGGCTCACGCTGCCTGCCCCCCGCCTCTGCCTCCTGTGCTGCTTGGATTTTGGGTGTGAAAAACGGGCTTGGGGTGAGGTCGACTGTGAGTCTCACCCTGAGAGTTAATTGCGTGAAAAGGCTTTGAATAGTTGAGCGCAGGGAGGGACCGTCCCGTGGACGCATTTGCACGCAGGCGTGGCTGCCGGGTGGCGGCGAGGAGCCCGGGCTGCGGGCGCGGCTCGCCCCAGCTGTGAGCAGATCCGAGTGCACGCTGGGGGCCGCCCTGCCCCTTCTGTGCTGGTGTGTTTCCCGCCGGGAGCCTTGGCGTGCTGTAGCGTCCGCGCTGTCAGGGTGGGAGGGTGTGAGCGAGAGGCTAGTCTGTTGGAGGCAGCAGCTGAAAGGCTGGGAGTTCTGGACGGGAACCTAAGCCCTCGGATGGTGTGGGGTCACCTCGCGTGGAGCGGGAGCGGGCCGGTGCCGAGCGGGGCGGGGGCGCGGCGGGCAGCACCCGGCTGGATGCCCGCGCTCCCTTCTCCACCTGCTGTGTGCGGTCTCTGCCCCGGGCCCCCCTGTCATCGAGGGTGCTTTCTGCTTGGTAGCTGTGTTTTAGAGAACGATTTCCTTTGGTAAAACGTAGTTACTGGTTGGTCCGTTTCACAGGAAACCACAGGCTTGGCGTGTAGGAGTCTGAGATTTTAAATCTCGTTCCTTCTCCAGCATGGGAGGCACGAGCATGTTGCTGTGTCCTGTCCTCCTCATCGCCGGTGCGTGTTCTTCCCGTGCCGAGGATGAGGAGCCGGAGGGGCTGCAGGTGGGGCCTCGGGTGTCGGTGCCTCCGGGAGACAGAGGCTGTGACCTCCTCCAGCTAAGGAGGCGGGCGGCTCCCTTGGTGAGCGCAGGGAGGCCCCCCATGCCTCACCTGCAGCCCTGCTCCCTTCCCTCAGCCTTGTCCTGTGCTTTGTGTTTGCTCTGTGTGTCACTCTTGTGTTTCTTTTGACATTAAACTTACTGACTTTTTACACATGTTTTATTGTTTTGGGGGGAAACTGGTAGGATAATTTTACTTGGAGAATATTGGATTCTGCTGTACATTTAATTCACGACTGTTAACATTTTGATGGGGGGGGAGGCGCTCTTCAGGGATGCTGATTTAATTATCTGGGATTTGGCTTGAGTATCTTGGTTTTCTAAATTCCTGGAGATGCTGGCACGAGGCCTCCCCTGAGAACCATGGCTCCCAGGGCCCCTGAGGAAAGGCGGACCTTGGTGTTCACTTCCTTCCCTCCTGCTGGCCCGTGACCCCAGCCATTGTGGACGTGTGCTGGTCTTGGGGCAACGTGCCTAGGGTGCCCTTAGGCGCTGAGTGTCCCTGGGTGGTGCAGTGTGCTGCGCGTCCCGCGGCGCCCACTTTCGCCGAGGTCTTTCCGTAAAGGCCCTCCTGAGGCTTTGCCCTTGTTCCCGTGCGGCAAACTGAACTCAACGATTTGTCTGGTTTTGGTTTTTGTTGAATGGATTCCTGATTCAGGAAATAGTCGGCTATCTCTTTCTAGAGAAAGGTTTTAGTCCAAACATTTCATCGATCCGGAATGTGTGTTCTTCCTCCGTGGCGAGTGTTTGTCTCCTCGCATTGTGTCGTTTCCCGGTAAGAAATGCGGCACGTATGTGAATTCGCTCAAGTTCTGATGTCACATGGAAGCCCATTGGCGGGCGGCGGCGGCCAACCGGACGCTTTCCGGTGTCCAAGTAAGATATATAGTTCTGGAATAACAGGAAACTTCAGTTTCAACATCCTGTTTTTCTGGGTTTTGTGCCTTGCCGCTGCCTCACCACGATGAAGGTTAGTAGACTTTTTATGTGAATTCTTCTCGTAGAATGCCACACGTTTCGTTTTTCTATCTCTAAAATGAGAGCTTTAGAGCTGAAAGACCTGATTAGCGCTCCTGCATTTCACAGGCTAAGGGGATGTTCGTGTTCTACGCGTAAGGCAGCCGAGGCCTATTGAGGTTCTTACTCTTAATTCCCTTAAAAAACCAAACAAAACAACTAACACACTAAAAATTGTAGATGGATGCGTCAGCCTACATCATGCTGTCATTTGACTTGCGATTTCTTGAATATACAATGAATATTCAATTCAGTTCAGTTTCTTGAATATGCAATGAATGAATCACATTGTGTCGTAGAAGCTGATTCTAAAGATGCTGTGTTCTGAGGGGGCTTTGACAGGAAGGATCTGGTGTGAAATCCGCCTGACTGTGTCTGTCTGCTGTGGGAGAAGTGGCATCGGGAGCCGCACGGAAGGCGAAGATCCGGCCACACTTCTTCTAGCGTGTAGACAGGCAGGCTAAGCCGTGCGTCCGGCTCCGCACTTGACTCTGTGATGTGAGGGCCTCCTTTCTTGACGTTCTCCAGTTTTGGTTTCCCGTGTTTAAATAAACTGGGCCTCATGATTTTTACCCTTCGTGGAGCTAAATGCGCAAGACTGTTAACTGGAGGTTCTTTGAGGGAGGCGGTGCTTAGATTTGGAATGGCTCATCTCCACGGCCCTTGCCGTGCCTGCCCCTCACGGGGACGTGTAGCACCACTGGGCGGGTGGGTGCATTGACTGGTGCGTTTTCCCTTCAGCAGACAGTGGAGTTTTTACTGCGCGCCGGCTGTTTTGCTCCATGTTAGGTGTCGTGAAATCTGGGGTCTAGATTTTACAGTGTAGGGCAGTGTCTGCTCATGGTCACCAGTGTACTGGGGGAGGCTGCTGAGGGCACCTCACCAAGTGTGGTCGGGAAGTGTGGCCAGGAGAAGGCCTGTGAGAAAGGGTTAAGGGATGGGTGCCGGGAGGCGGGAGTGGAGGGTTCCTGGCAGGACGTGTGAGGTGGAGGAAGTCGGGGGAGAGGTGGCCGGCAGCCTGGAGAGGAAGCTGGGGCCCTCTTCCTCCCGCTCCTCCTTCCTGGGATGACTGATGTTTGTGCATTCTTGTCCTAGTGTGAGAAACTTGGAAGGCTGTTGACATGGTTTACGTTTGGGTATCTAAATACATCTTTGTTATCGACATCTCGGAAAGAAATCTTTTCATAATTTTCCTGGCGCATTTGTGGGTGATTTGACTACAATTTTTCTCTGGAGGTTCCTCCCTGATCAGAAGCTGTGTGTAGTGTTGAGGCAGTATTTGGGAGCGAGGTCTGTGTGCACTGGCGTGTGCACACCCATCGTGCGGCGGCTGGCAGGTATTTGGGCAGGCCATCGTGTGTACGCGTGTGAGAGTGCCAGGCCGACCCTCCCGCGTGCCTGGTCTGCGGGCGGCCGAGGTTGGAGGCGATGCAGACTACAGAGTCCTGGTCTGGCCTCAGGGCTGTGCCTGGACGGTGGAGGTGTCCTGTTCCCCTACCCTGAGCTGTCCCTCTTCTGGAACCTGCTTCTCTTTTCCCTTCCTCGTGCTGCCAGTTCCATGTGGAACAGGCTGTGGCTGGGGTGGGTTTGTGGAGGCAGCTCAGCCCCACCGAGGGCCCCCAGCCTCCCAGCCGCAGCTCCCTGGCTGGGAGGGCTCCTCCCCAGCTCGCAGAGGGGTTGGGGCTATGTGGGGAGTTGGCCGTTACGAAGCTGGTCTCACGGCCTGTGTCCTGGCTCAGCGCGTGCCTGGGTGAGGGAACTCGGTTGGACCCCTGCCCCTCTGCTGGCAGCCGCGTCCCCTGGTCTGCCCTTTCCGGCCGGCCTGCATCTCAGGACTTGCTCGGCGGCCCCCTCCTGCCACGGTCGTCCCGTTGCTGTGAGAACTTCGTTTATCCTGCTCCCAACCTATAAGACCCTACTAACTTGTTTAATTTTTCCTTTCAGACATTTGATGCAAATGATTTGTATCAGGGGCAGAATTTTAACAAGGTCCTCAGTTCCTTAGTGACTCTAAACAAAGTAACAGCAGGTAAGATTTTTTTATTGAACTTGGGGGGGGAGACGAAAGGGCAGAAACATGTGCTTTGTGGTTGGCGAGGCAACAATGAGCATTACCGGCGCGTAAAAATAAGGTGTCACGTTACATGCCCGGTTGTAAGTTCTGCTGTGATATTTTTTTCTTATTCGATCAAAGTCTTCCTCTTGGGGCCGTGGGTGGGTAGCGGGTGTTCCCCTTTCTGTGGGCAGAAGCATGTCTAGCTGAAACGGTAGCGGAGGAGGAATGTTTCTGGTGCGGGCATGCTCCTGGGCCGGCTTGGAGCTAGAAGCGCTTCTCTGGGTCTTGATGAGGTTCGTGCTGGTCAGAGCTCCTGTCTAGGGTGCGCATGCAGTGGTGTTTCTGAGGTGTGACCATGACCAGGGGAGTGGCCATTGGATTGGCTCGTGAAGGGAAGCTGGGCCTGGGCCAGACGTCCTGAGGGCGAAGAGGATGCCGGGGCGCTGAGTGGAGCTGGGCCCCCGACACTGTGAGGACAGGAGAGCTTCCGTGCGGATTTCTCGGAGGGAGGCCCGCCTGCCCCCTGAGCACCGAGCAGCTCTGTCTTTAGAGAGCTGTGTGGGTCGAAAAGGACTTAGTGGCTGCTGTGTTTTAAAGTCCTTTTTTCTTTTTCCACTTACTTTTTTTTTTTTTAAATTTTATTTATTTGACAGAGACAGAGATCACAAGTAGGCAGAGAGAGAGGGGGAAGCAGGCTCCCCGCTGAGCAGAGAGCCCAATGTGGGGCTCGATCCCAGGACCCTGAGATCATGACCCGAGGCGAAGGCAGAGGCTTAACCCACTGAGCCATCCAGGCGCCCCTCCATTTACTTTTATACATTTTTAGGTTCAGATTTACTGGAGCAAGTTAGAGCTTGAGGTTTTGTGATAAGAAACCTCTCGTGTGTTTTGCGAGGGGCTCTTGTCCTTTTCTTCCTGGCTCTGCAGATGGGATGTGGGGGGAGCAGTCAGAACAGTGGGCTGCAGTCCAGCTTGGGGTGCACTGTGCTCAGGGACTCAGGTGCCCCTTCCTAGAACTTGTTGGCTGGGACGGCAGTCCAGGTGCCACCCCTCCCTGTGCAGAGGTGTGGGGTGGGTGTGGCACGGGGGCGGGGGCTGCCACCCAGAGCCCCTGCACCTGCTTGCCACCCCGGGCAGGGCTCGTGATGTGGCTCTGTTTGCCCAGCTTGACTGCAGTGGAACGTTGAGAACCTCCTAGGGCCATTGAGGCGGAAGTACCTGGGGGATTGGCTCCGCTGATGTGTTAGGACCTTATGTGAGCCAGTGTGGGAAGGTCGGTGAGCATCTGAGCCAGGAGGACGGAGAGACCGGATGGAGGAGGGAAGGGGGTTCTAAGGCCAGGAGGAGGGGGAGAGACCCGGATGGAGGAGGGAAAGGATGCAAAGACGCATACACAGCCCTATTCCGCCACTTGATGGTTAGCACACAGGACCTCAGGGCGTTCTTTAAAGGTTATGAGGCACTGAAGCTGTCTTCTCTGTCCCACACTGTAACGGAGGCAGCTTTAATGTGAACAGCCAGATTAGGAAGAGTTGTGGACCGGGCATCACGCAGTGACGGAAGTCTTAGAGCCCTGGACTCGGACGGAAGAAGCCGACGCAGGGCAGGCGCGGCTGCGTGTCTTTGCTGTGTGGGTCCTGCCTGCCAGCTGCTGCAGTGACCACCCGAGCCTCAGTTTTGGGTCCGGGGACCGGTAGGGGTCTCCTGCAGACAGGGACGACAGGGGCAGACACGGAGGCAATCGCACGTCATTTTTTAGACACCCTTCTGCCCCGGGGCCTCTTTCTCTGGTGGCTGCTCAGGAGGGAGGAGGGCCGCTTTGGCCTTGCTGCTGCTCGCTGGGTCTCCCTGCAGTTGAAGACCAGGTGCCAGCTTAGGAAAGGGGGGGTGCCCTGGGGCAGCTTTGGTCCATGCCCTTGGGTGGGGGCTCCTCGTCCTGAGCGTGGCCTGGATCTGATGTCTCCTGGGCACAATACTGTTGTTTGTACCCATCTTGTGCACAAGTGTCTCACATACCGTTTAGAGCATTGGACACTTAGAAGATAATAAGGTGTTCTTGACAAAGATCTGTTTGGAATATTGCAAAATAAACCTGATTTATATAAAATAAACCTGATATACTCCTCCTTTCAGTGTTGACACTGGAAGCCTCTCAGCTGGGAAGCGCCCCCCCCCCCCTTTTAGAGCGAGAGCCTGCCTGTGCACAAGAGGGGAGGGAGCAGTGGGAGGGGGCAGGGAGAATCGCAAGCAGACTCTGTGCTGAGTGTGGAGCCTGACGTGGGGCTCGATCCCATGACCCCGCGATCATGACCTGAACAGAAATCAAGAGTTGGACACCTAACCGACTGAGCCACTCAGGCGCCCCAAGAACTTCTTGCTTTTGTTTTGGACTATGTGCTCTTAAATTTTGTCACTGAAGTCAGCGTGATGGAAGTGACTATCCTTTTCGATCTCTATTTTAAAGACTGAATAACAGCACGGTTGCCGCTGTTGGTTCCAGGCCTGTAGGCCTTGTCAAGAGAGGCATGTTCAGCTTGTGTTCTTTGAGAATATCGATGAACACTTGCCTTTTGACTGGGCAGAAAGTGGGAAAGAAGGGATGTCCTGAGACCCTTCACTGCACTAACGGTCCCTTGAAAGGTGGAGTCTGGTGAGAACAGGGAACGGCACGTCGCCACTGCCGGCAGAATCCCCGTGAGATGCCCTTGAGGAGCTGGTTTTATGCTTGAGGTTCCTGATGCCTGTGCCTGGCTGTAATGGAAGGTCCTGAAGTAGGACCCGAGGACGGCAGCGGCCTGTTGGAGATGCTCGGGGCTGGCAAGGCTGTTTGAGGACCTCCACCAGACACCAGTGTCTGTCGAGCCACGTGGGCAGCAGGAAGGGCAGACAGAAGCCCAGGGAAGTGGGCCCCTCTTGATACACGCCGCCCTGCTCGGCTCCTGGGAATGCAGCCCCAGTCGTGCCCCACACGGGCAGACTCAGGCTTCTCTGGGCTTCCGCAAATCCCGGACCCTTCCTGGGGAGTCCTCAGAAGGGTCTCTAGCTAAAAGCTCTAAGGGGATTTTTCTCTCTCTCTTTTTTTAAAGTAAGATTCTTTCTTTGTTGCGCACAGTTCCTGCTGGTTACTGCATGAGGCTCTGTCTGAAGTCGTGGGAGAGCGGGGATGGTGTGTTGGGAGTGCTGGGGGGACGCTCTGAGTTCGAGAGGCTTGTGTTTTCCATGTGAACTGGAAGATACTAAAAAGTTACAAAACCTTAAAGACATTTGAAAATTACACTGAAGAACTGATGAGTAGTTGGGTCCAGTATGTTTCCAGAGCGTGTGCAGGCCGTCTCGGGTGGGCCGTCTGCGCTGCTACATCCGTGGGCTGCTCTGTTGCCTGTGCCGGGTGTCCCGCGGGGGTCACCACTGTTGAGAGCCTGGTGTGCTGCGAGGGTGCGTGCTTGCCAGAGTCTCAGCTCACTCTTCTCTCTGCACCACCATTTCAGACATCGGCCTGGGAAGTGACTCCGTGTGTGCCCGGCCCTCATCTCATCGGATCAAGTCTTTTGACTCCCTGGGAACTCAGCCTTCGCACAGTCGGACTTCAAAATTGTTCCAGGGCCAGTATCGAAGCTTGGTAAGTTTGAGTTGATCGGAGGGACATTGGGGAGATGAGTGTATGCAGTTGTGTCCAGAAAGGTTGCACGTGCCCTTGAACTGGGTACTGCCCAGCTGGAGGGTGCTTTTGCTTTGTTCCCGTTGTTCCTTTGCTGGGCTGTGGCGTTTGCATCTCCCGCATTATCCACGTTACCCTTGACTGCTTCTGAGAAACTTGTGCAGTTTGGGTTATATTTTAAGATTCCTTAGATGTGCTCATCTAGGGAGATGGCTGCTTTAAAGTGTTACCCGGATCCTTGTATTTTATTTGCTTTGTGCAAACGTACAGAAGTATGGGAGTCAGAGCTTTAGATGTGCAAGGAAGAAATGGCCAACAGCTAAAGAATCAAAATGTGGTGTTTCTAAGCATGACCTGGAGTGCTTTCCTGAGTCTGCATGTGGTCGGCGAAGGAGGGACTCCCTTCGGATGGCTGGTGTTGATGTGGAAAAGGAACCGAAGTGAACGGTTATCCTGGGAGGTGGAGAAAGATCCACGTCTAAGTTGTTAGGATACAGGCCGCGAGCAGAGAACATCGGGTGGAGGGTGAAGCCGCACCGAGATGCAACGCAGGGCGGGATGTGGACCTGGTGTGGAGAGGCCGTCCCTGCTCTCCTGGTATGACGCGCAGCCTTCTTTGGAGCTCGTGGTGCTTGCGCTTGGTCATGTGACTTCGTTTTCATGGGCCACTTCAGTAAACCTGTGTTAGAGACAAATGGTCTTGCCCGTGAGTCTGAGGAGAACCTGGCTCTGAGTGACTGGGGGGCCGCAGATACAATGTCAGCTTCAACGCAGAAAGGAAGATTACGTAAGGTAATGGTGACACTAAGAAAGAAAGTGGCTAGAGTGGTATTTTGTGGAGGGGATTTGACTTTAATTCATGGAGGAGGGTTGAAAAGGAAGCTGCAGAAGGCAGTGGGATATTTACGTGTTCCTGAACTTTGTGAACCCAGGTGAGACTTAAAATATCTCCGGCTCATTAAAAATTAATTCTGTGGTATCGTGATCCCGGGAACACTCACTGTTCGTTGTTGGCTCTCCTCAGAGTGGCGCCATCACCGTCTCTGCTCTTGCATGTGCTACACCGCGTGTCACTGTTCTGTGCACACTGTTCCAGGTGCTGTTCCCTGTACTCCCTCAGACGGCCCCCCAGTGACCCCACGAGGCACTGGGTTTCACACTAGGTGAATTTTGCAGAGCGCTATTGGGAGTATTTTGATTCTAAATTGAGGAAGAATACACAACCTACTTGAAAAACATTTTAAATGGAGGTTTTATAAAATTCTTGGGGGAAAATCGAAGAAAACAAACTTAACACACTCTGAGTAAAGAAATACCTGTTGCCTCACCCATTTACCTGTGCTAACTTTTTAATATTTTAGAGCATGAGTGCATGTGAGGTGGGGAGGGCTGCAGGAGCAGAGAAAGAATCCCAAGCAGGCTCTGCGCTGTGTAGCGCTCAATCCTGTGACCCTGAGATCACTACCTGAGCTGAAACCAAGAGTCAGATGCTCCCAGGCACCATTACCTGTGTCCATTTTGACTACTTGTTTTTGAGTACCTGAAGACTTGATTGCAAATGTAAAATTTTAAGTAAAATGCAGGTAAATGTAATGTTGAATAGTGAGTGTTCCTGGGATCACGATACCACAGAATTGATTTTTAATGAGCCGGAGGTATTTTAAGTCTCACCAGAAATTAAAAGCCCCCTACCGTGTCTCCTGTTTGGCATCTGTGATTGGAGGAGACCCCATTAGCTGCTGGTGAGAGGAGCAGGGGCAAGGCTTCTCTTCCATGCTGCGTGAGGATGACCTTTGCCTTTAGGTTTTTCCGCAGGTGTTCACAGTCCTTGGAGGTAACTTTCTTGGATTAAAAATTAGGATAAGGATGGCGAAAGTTTTAAAGCTGGGTGATGGGCACCACAAAGAGATTATTTTCTTAATTTCATTTATAATTGTGCCAAAAAGAATAAAAAAGGAATAAACGTGATCCAGGAGGTGAACAGCTTGTACTCTGAACACTACAAAACAGCGAAGGAGCTCGAAGTCGATGCCGGCCGATGGGGACATGCTCCTGGGTTAGAGAATCCGTGCCGCTCACGGGCCCACACTCCCCTGAGCAGTCTGCACACACGATGCGGTGCCTGTCAGGGTCCCAGTAGTTGGTCCCAGAACTAGAACAAGGCCTGGTACAATTTTTGTGGCGCCGCAAAGGACTCGGAGTAGACAAGGCAGTTTTGAGGAAGAGCAGTGCCGGTGGTATCGCAGTCCCCGGTTTCAGGGTGCGGCGCGGTGCCGGCGCAGGAGTGGACACAGGTCAGCGGGACAGAGCCGGGAGCCAGAAGTGAGCCTCCAGCTGTGCGTCTGAGATCAGTAAACATCGTCTCAGTCGGTGGCAGAGGCGGTAAGAATATGCAACGGAGAAAGACGTTGTCTCTGAACAGTGGTGTGGGGAAAACCAGACCGCTTCCGTACAGCACACACAAAAATAAACTCAGAATGGACGAAAGATCCAAATGTGAGACCTGAAATCATAAAACTCCTAGAAGAAAACAAAGGCAGTCCTTTCTTTGACAACAGCCGCAGAAACCTTTTTCTTGGTATGTCTCCTCCGGCGAGGGAAACAAACAACTATGAGGAGTGCACCAGAATGAAACGCCTTATTGTCAAAGGAGCCATCAGCAGATGAACTTGCCGAATGGGAGAAGTTTCTTGGAAGGGACCTATTTGATAAGGAGTTTGTATCTAAAATATATTAAGAATTTACAGAAATGAACATCAACAAATCTGATTAAAAAATGCACAGAGGACCTGAATAGACATTTTCCCAAAAACTTGCAGGTGGCCCGAAGACCCACAAGGAGATGCTGAGCGTCACTAACCATCACAGACTTGTGTCAGAACCACGGCGTGAGAGAACCCCTCACTCAGTCAGAATGGCTAGCCTCGGGCAGACCGTTGGCAGGCACCAGCCTAAATTCCTGCAGCCACTGTGGGAAACAGTACCGCGGTCTTCAGACTGAAAATAGAAATTCCCTGTGATCTGTGACTCTGCTCTGAGTATGTGCCCGAGGAAAACAAACGCTGGTTTGAGAAGACCCATGCACGTCTATGTTTACTGCAGCATTATTTGTAGAAGCGACCCGAGTCCCCGTGGACAGCTGAGTGAGGGTGTGCGGTATCCTCGAGAGGGCCTATTACTCAGCCGTGAAGAGTAAGGTCACGCCATTGTGTAGCACGGATGGGCCTAGAGGGGGTGCAGCGGAACGACACACGTCAGAGAAAGACAAGTACTACCTTAGTCCACTTGCAGTTGGTTTCTGAGAAACGAAATAAAAAGCAAAAACAAACCCATAGAGAACAAACTGATGGTTGCCAGAGGGGGCTGGGGGATGGGCAAAGTGCCCGAGAGGAAGGAGGAGAAGGACGACTTGGTGACACGTGGATTCCCAGCTGCCCATCACTTTCTGTTCTGTTTGGAATGTTCCATGGTAAGCTGAAAACGATCCGAGGTTTCCTGGACACGAATTTTGCAATCTCCCGATCGTGTACGGCACTGCCGTTCCCAAGGCAAGGGTCAGTGCTCTCTCAGGGCCCTTGGGCGCACGTCCTGACTCTGCGCTTGCCCCTCTGGTTGGCCAGGTCTCGCCCGACCGCCGCCTCGGAGCTTGCTGTCCGCGCAGTCTCGCTTCCGGGGCTCGGAATCCGGCTGCTCCTGGACGGTCTCCTGCGTGGGAGGTGGGCGCTGGTGAGCAGTCGCAGGGCGTTGTCTGCACTGACCTGGAAGCTCGGACTTCCTTCCCTTGGCCCTTCCCTGTCGCTCCCTCTTTATCCTTTTCTGGGGGTGCCCTCCTGTCCCTCTGTGCCCTGAGTTTTCATCCCTTGACTCCCGGTAAGTATGACGTGGGCTCCCGAGTTTCCCCTCCACAGGTGGGGAGAATAGTCTGATGAGGGGACGTGGTTGCTCCCATCACCCTTGACTCACCTGACAGGAGCCCTTAAAGCCCTTCCTGGTCCCTGTGGTCCCTGCTACCTCCTGGGACTGGTCACTGAGCTCCCAGAACGGTCTCTAAGGCACGTAGGACCATATATCTGTGTGTTTTTCACAGTTTTAACCTTCCCAGTTCCTCTGCCCAGCAAGCATGGGAGTACTGGGCTGGCTCGGTGCACTAGATGTCCTCGATTCAGAATGCTCTTGAAAACCTTCCCACGCAGCTGAAAGTAGTGAGTGTCTCACGGCTGATGGTGTGGGCCCGCCGCGTTTGGAACACAAAGGGGACATCGTCTAGTTGCTGCGTCTGCTCTGAGGAAACAGCCGCAGAGAAGTCACATTTACACACGGTCACGAGTCCGGGAAGTACTAGCTGGTGGAGTAGAAACTGGGTGTTCCCTGACGGGATTTTCTTCTATCAGTGGAGTTCTGAGCGCTTGCAGGGAGCAGGGGATGGGGCTCACGTGACGGCACGCGCCGGAACATCCTGGTTTCGGGTTACTAGGCTGACTTCAGAACGCGGGGTCAGAGCACTTGCTTGGGGCAGATCTGGATGTGCGTGGTATGACTGACAGCCAGGCCTCCGTAGGCCTCAGGAGGTGGCCGGTGGTGGGGAAGGTTCCTGCTCCCAGCGGAGGTACTGTACCCCTACCCCGCAGTTTCCTCCCCTCACTGACCTGAAGCCTGGATCGAGGAGAACAGCCTGATGAATGTCTACAAGTTGCACATCCCGTGTAAGATCGAGAAGCAGAACTTGACCAGACCAGCGTCACCTTCGTTAGGTCTTCTTTCCCAAAGCCATCTGCTGTCCTGATCTCTGATGGCAAAGCCAAGCTTTCCTGTTTCGTAGTTGGCATAAATGGAACTGGTGCGCGTACACGCTCTGTGAGCGGCTGCCCTCTCTCAGCCTGTTACCTCGTGGGCTGCCGTGGGCTGTCCCCTTGGACCCGGAGACGGGGCGAGCTTTAGTTGCAGGAGCACTTTTAAAAATGGGAAGAAGAGAAATCCAAAATAAGGTAGTAGTGGTTAAATACCTCCCGTGGTTCCGTGGCCCCGGGGGCAGTGACTGGAGTGCTCCTCGTCCGCGTGGGTGAGGGCTCCGTGCGGCATCGTGGGTGGGCACGCGCACGCCTTGCATCCCGCCTTGGGCGTCCTGCTCTCTTAGCACTCCTTAGGACAGCGTCTTCCATTGAGGTCTCTCGTACGTCCTGAACCGGTGGACGTCTGTGGAATCAGAAATTTAGATGGATCTAGGCCGGCTGCCTGCCTGTCCACGGGCCCCTGTCCTTCCCCTGTGGAGTGGCCGTTTCTGAAGCGGAAGAGGCTTCTGTGGTGTTTCTCTAGTGTGTGCCTGACTGCAGAGAATTTGCAACTTGGGGGGAGAGTGTAGTTGACCTCACTTGTCATGTTCCGGTCTCCTTGGTGCCCGGGGAGGGCCTCAGCACTGGCTGCTGAGCTGAGGTGGATGGGCTGACTGCAGGGTCGTTCCTGGGCGGTGGCTCGGCCTCCGAGGGGCCTGCTCTGTGCGTGTGCCCAGTTACGTGTCGCATCCACTGTGGAAGATGATGACCAGGATGGGTGCCGTGTGGGTTTTGCACCGAGCCAGCTTGCCCTGGGTGGTCGCCGAGAGGAGGGCGTGGCGGATGGCCTGTGCGGGACGAGCCGACCCAGAGCGGCTGCTCAGCCTGCTTCCCTCTCCAGAGCGGGGACATGCGTGCTCTTCCCAGGGGTCTTCAGCTGCCTCTCACCACTCTCGTGCGCCAGCAAGCGTCACGTCTGAGGTGATCGGTCGGCCGGAGCTTTGTCTTTCAGTGTTGCCAGATGCTAAGACACGTCCTAAGCATTAAATACGCAGTGCGCGTGACGTGTTTAATTTACCGGGTGAGACGTTTAATAGATGTGTTTAAGCAAATCAACTTTATAACATATTGATGTGAGATACACAAGTATTAAACGTTTGGGGAGCTGTCTGCTCTCCTCGAGCCCTGTCCCTGTGTCTATGCTGCTTTTTCTCTGTCTGGTGACACGTGCGCCTGGCTCGGAGTCGGGTCCTTCAGGACTTGGGGCAGGAGGAGCCGGGCGGCCAGCCACCTCCCATCTCTCCCACTGTCTCAGTGAACGCCTGTGTGAAGCTTGGTTGCCTAGACCTGCCGTGGAGTAGGGGTGTGGGGGTCTCACACTGCGCCCCAGGCCTGTACCTTCCCCCTGGATTTCCCCTGTGGTTTCCGTTGGGTCCAGTCCACATAGCATCACCACGTCCCAGACCCACAGCCTGGCCGGGGCCTGTGCAGTGACTGTTCGTCCTTTCCTGACCACGTTTTGTTGTCCAGAACTAGGAATTGTTGCCGCTGGAGCCTTCTCTGCACCGTTCCTGACTGCAGCCCTGGTCTCCTGCCAGTTTCCAAGAGTCTCCTGTGCTTCCGGACTGGGGAGCGTTTCTCACTCCTCCCCCGGGAGCACCCCTGCAGTCTCGTGCCACCGTGGGAGCTGTCCTGCGCCCACCCTCCCCTCCCTCTGAGCCCCGCTCGTCCCTCCCTCCACCGTGCAGAAGGTGGAGTTGTCTGCTCTTCCCTGGCTGGATCCCCTATTGGGGGGCACAGCTTTCAGAGCCTCATGAGGAGTGGGGCTCCGTGGGCTACGGGATGTCCTTCCCCGTCCCCTGGGACCCCTGGGACCCCTGGGTGCAGGCCGACAGGGTGCGCCCCATCAGGGGGTGAGTGGGCCTGCCTGTGGCCCCTCCTTGGCTCCTCCCACCCAGAGATGAGGCTTTCCCTGGGGGCAGTGTTTGCTTTACTCCTCTTGGTAGTTCGCAGTGGCGAGCCTCTGCAGAACCGAGGCTGGGATAGATGGAAGTAGAAACTCTACCCCGTCTGCCTCCCTCTTCCCACCTTTCAGAGATGGGCACATGTGCTTAATCTTCGAGGACAAAATGCAGATGGAAAGGAGATACCATTTCTTGCCAGCAGTTGGGCGCGAGTAAAAACGCCGCGGTATGCCGCGCCGGCGGGCGTGCGGAGAGAGCGCCGGCCCTTCGGTGCGTTGGTGGGAGTGCCGCGGCTGTGAGCGGGGCCTGCGGAGGGCAGCTTAGAGATCGGTGCTGAAATTGAGTGTGTCATACATGCTTTCTGACCCGAATTTAATGTGTAGGCTTATTCAGAGGTGTGTGCAGAGATGTGCAGAGAGTTTCAACAGAGCCTTGTTGCGCGGGAGAAAAACCGGAGAGACGGCCTTCAGTCCGGTAATGGAGAGTGAGTTGGTGGCACAGCCGTACGGTTAGTTACGTGGTTCGTTAAGACTGAAGTGATTCTAGTGCTAGAAGTGACCACACTCTTAACTCAGGGGGCTGTACAGACGCTCCGTGTGCTTTGATGTCAGTGTACGTGTGAAAGTGTGCAGTGTGGACACAGGCCTAACCGTGGCAGAATAAAGCCTTTCAGGCATGAAGAGGGCTTCCTCCGGGACGGGAGCCGGTGCTGGAGGTCAGGGCACTGGAGCAGGTCCCCAACCTGTTTGTGTGCTTGGACAGTTTTTCTGCTCTTGGCACAGGGCATTCCAGTCAAACATCATCTACTTTGATGTGAAGTAGACGCCATGAAGTTTTTCTCCCCCTTCTTCCCTTTCAGGACATGACCGACAATAGCCACAGCCAGCTGGTTGTGAGAGCCAAGTTCAACTTCCAGCAGACCAACGAAGACGAGCTCTCCTTCGCCAAGGGAGATGTCATCCATGTCACGCGGGTGGAGGAAGGCGGCTGGTGGGAGGGCACGCACAACGGCAGGACCGGCTGGTTTCCTAGCAACTACGTGCGGGAGGTCAAGCCGAGCGGTGAGTGCGGCGCTGGCGGAGGGGCTGCTGCCTCTCCTCGGGGCGGGAGGCAGGCAGAGGGGCGGGCGCTGCATGGGGGGGGGGGGGGCTTCTCTCCGGGTGAACTTGGGGAGATGGCCCTGGGCAGAGGAGTCACGCTCTTGCCCACTGCTTCTTCCAGCCGCCTTGGGGTACTGGCATGAAGGGTCCATCCTTAGAGCAGCATTTCATTCAGTCCTTATAATCCATTAAAAATAAGGACTTGGGGTTTGCCGTGTCACAGAGGCTGTTCATTTGTATCACTACGGGTGCTTTCGGCAATGAGGTATGATTTGTTTTTCTTCGTAGGGTCTTTTAAAATGCATCACTTAGTTTATGTTTCCTGTAATCAACTTCATTGACTTCTAAAAATTTATTCAGAGGCTGATGCTATTTGAAAGGGCGTAGTAGCGGTTGCACTTCCTTCATTTCTGCTGTGGGATTCTTGAGGAGTTAGAGGTTCTGAGGCCTCAGGCCGAGCCTTCTGTCAGAGGGGTGTGGCCGTGACAGTCTGTGTGCCCAGCCGTGTCCTCTGCGTGTGCGGTCTTGCTTGGGGCTGTGCCGGGACAGCGGCTGTCCTTCGGAGCGCGTGTCTCTTCGTGGCACAGCTCGGGGTCCCGCGTGCGCCGTGTACAGGACTGCCGGCTTCATGGGTGCAGCCGCGGAGGTATTGGGCACACGGGTGACCACACGCACTTTGGGCCTGGGGGAGCCGACCCCGTGGTGCAGCCCCAAATGTCTGTAGCTCTGACACCCAGAAGCTTACTGTGGCAGCCCGCCGCTGAGCAGACGCCTTACTGGGGCGGCGAACAGTGGGCAGGCATGTGTTTCGTGGGTTCCCCGGTGCTGTCTCCTTACAGTAAAGTCAAGAGGCCTTGCTGAAAGAGCAGACGACCCCGCGCACTTGTAGTCCTGCCGCGTGTGGGAAAGCGTCCGCGCCGAAGGGCCCTGCCCTTCCAGCCTCGCTGTCCCAGGCCCGCTGTGTGCAGCCCTCGGGCCGCTGTGAGCGTGGCACCGAGTGCCCCCCCCAGCCCTTCTGACACCAGCTGGGTGGTGTCCCCGCGGCTCGGTGACCTCACTGGTAATTTGCTGGGCATAAGAGCGCTGGGGGCATCTTTCGTTCCCGTACTTGGCCTTTGAGCGTGTTTCCTGACCCTAAGCCTCAGGGCCCTGCTCATTTCCTGAGTCCCGAACCAGGCGGCAGACCAATGTTTTTCTCTGTTTCAAGACCACGTTTCGCTTGTCCATTCATTGGTTGCTGGACATTTGTTTTTTTCCCACCTTTTGCTATTGTCAGTAGTGCTGTTGTGAACCTGGGTGGGATCTGCTTCAGTCCTGTCCGTCCTCTCGGCCGTGTGCCTTGGGGTGCAGTTGGCTCTGGGTGCCCGTGAGACCCTGACGAGCCGCCTTGCTGCTCCCCCCGGCAGTGCACGATGGTTCCAGTTTCTCCACGTCCTTGACCACACTTTCTGTTTTGGAATAGCAGTTATCGGGTGTGAAAGGGTACTTCACCGTTGCCATTTTCCTCTAGTTGATAACAAAGACAATATCTTTACTGCAATAAAGGTCACAGTAAATAGTGTCTTTGTTGCTTTTTTTTTTTTGGTTATCGTGTGAAGTGCTGTCATTGTGGCCTCATTCCATCCCCACCACGACCCCCAAAGCTGTTGGGATACTTAGGTTCTGGGCCCAGATCTTCCTAATCCACGCAGGTGTGTAGCCAGCTGTGCCCGCAGCACTGGTGTCGGGCTGACTGGGGTGGAAACGTCGCCTTAGTCTCACAGACTCAGCTGCTGGGCTGGGCCTGCCAGTAGTCCCTCGTCAGGCCCCGGGAAGAAAGCCCAGCTCCCAGCCAGTCCTGCAGTCTGATGGCCTCCTGGGGGCCAAGAGTGCTGCCCTGGGCCATTCCCAGGAGGATGCTGGAGTTGGGGAAGGGTGAGGGGAGGGTAAGGTGGTCTTTGCCTTTACCAGTGAGGGCCAGGGGGCCACAGAGCTGGTGCTGGGGCAGCCATCACTGTGGAGCCCGGCTTGGCCCATCTCTGTTGAACGTGGGCCTTGAATTCTGCTGTGAGTGACTCATTTATTTTCTATTTATTAATTTTTAAAGATTCTGTTTATCTGAGAGAGAGAGCGAGCAGGGGCAGGTGGGAGAGGGAGAAGCAGACTCCCTGCTGAGTGTGGAGTCTGATGTGCGACTCGATCCCAGGACCCTGAGATCGTGACCTGAGCCAAAGGAAGGCGGCTGCTTCGCCGACTGAGCCACCTGGGTGTTCCACGAATGACTCATTTTATTTATTTATTTATTTATATTTATTTATTTAAGAAGATTTTATTTATTTGACAGAGATTACAAGTAGGCAGAGAGGCAGGCAGAGAGAGAGGAGGAAGCAGGCTCCCTGCTGAGCAGAGAGCCCGATGCGGGACTCGATCCCAGGACCCTGAGATCATGACCTGAGCCGAAGGCAGAGGCTTAACCCACTGAGCCACCCAGGCGCCCCATGAATGATTCATTTTAATGGGAATCTTGGGTTGACCTTGAGTTGCCGCAGGCAAAATGCAGGCGGAATTTTCCTTGTCAGGTATTCCTCTCCTCGTGGAGTTTTGAGTCACCCTTTGACAGTTATGTGGAAAAGATAGTCCGTGAGTCTCAAAGTCCTCTTCCGGTGGCGTTTGGGAGTTGTGTCCCCAAGGACGTGGGCATGCGTGGTGTTGCTCCTGGTGGTCCGTGGTTTCACCACGCCCTCGTGAAGTCTGGTGGTGCCGCACCAGGCCTTGTTCCGGGGGGTGTGGGGCCAGACGGCTGGTGGGGACGAACGCCGCGCTGAGAATAACTAGCTGTTACGTGGGGGGCGGGGACGGGGGGGAGTTGACTTAAGGAAAAAAAGTATTTAGAAGGGGCACCTGGCTGGCTCAGTCAGTGCAGCGTGTGGCTCTTGGTCTCGGGGTCGTGCATTTGAGCCCCCACATTGGATGCAGAGATTATTTCAAAATCTTTAAAAAAGAAAGCCGTTACGTGTCTTGGTTGACTTACGTCAGGGTGACTGCATGCTGTTCCACCAGTTTTTACATCTTACCCCGTGTTTCTCTGTGCACGCCCATGAGAGACCCTTTTAAACACGTCACCACATTGGGTCACACGGAATCCCAGGTTTTTGTACTGGACGGAGACAAGTAACATTGGAAAATTTCCTCTTTTTCTGTTTAAAGTGTAAAGAGCATGTTTGCTCCAACTGGTGACCCATCATGCTAAGTGTTCTTTAGCTGACAGTCGGGCTGAAGGGATAACCTCGCGCGCCGCGTTCACGGGTTATCTGAGTACATTCTAGGGAAACTTCCCCTGTGTGAGTTTAGATGTGGGCATTTAAGACAGACAGGAAATTCTGTTTTTACGCTATCGCTTCACAGCAGTGGAGAACTCGAGAGCCACAATGGCCTGCTGGTATTGTCGTTCCTCAGTGATTCCTGTGACTTTCTGATTCTGGACAAGTGTTCCTTCTTGGAAGGATGTGTTTTAGATAAGCATTGTAATTCACAGTGTAATTCTTCACTTTCCGTAAACAAAACGTGCTAGATCTGTCAATCACGTAGGATCATTTCCTTGTAAAACAAAAATGTGGACATCCTTTAAATTGTGAGTTTCTGCTGGTTACAGTTCTGATTCATGAATCGTGTTCTTGAATAAACACACCCACAGTCAGCCTCTCAGTGGCCCTTTCTGGGCTGCCTCTAGGTAAGTGCTCGAGGATGTCTACTTCATCTATCGCGCTTCTTGGAAGTGTAAGTGGCCGTGAGCGTTTGGCCTCGTAGCTGCAGGCTGTAGCCGTCCTGGGGGGCTTCACCTGTGTAGGCGTGTGCCCTTGACCTGTGTGTACCTTCTTGTTTCAAATAACCTTCCCTGAAGACTGCTGTCCCCCGAGAGTCTGCAGAAGGGCATTTCCATAGCTTGCTGTGAGTGTGGCACGTACCCGTTACTAACATTGACTTTCCATGCGTATTGTTTTGATATGTAAAAAACATGGAATTCTGCCTTTCGTACACACAAGGGGTATGTTTTATGCACGTTCAGTGAAGAATTTCTTAAATTGGAGACCGAAGGAGAGAAGCGACAAGGCGGGCGGTCCTGGGGGAGAGGGCGCTGCTGGCTGCTGCTCTTGAGTCCGTCTGCCGGTAGCTGACCTCCCTGCAGGTCATGCACCCCTGGGCTGGGGGGGTCATGGTTCCTTTTGACATCAAAAAGTGACCCAAAACGCAAACTGGGTTTAATTTTGTTGTGGAAAAACCGTGTTATGGATATAATCTGCAGGGAAGGGATCAGAGGTGACGAGTGTACTTTTGTGTTGCTGGAAGTGTGTGTGCGCGTGCGATGTCAGGGTTCCGCGGGCCTGCGGGGTAAGGCTGCTCTGCGGGGGAGGCCTGGCTGCCGTTTCTTCCAGGTGGAGAGGTGATAACAGGCGGGAGAGTTACCCCATGTAAGATTTTACCTCTGACGCACGTGTGGGGAAGCTGGCCGGACACACGGAGGGTCTGGGACACGGGGTGTGGCGCCTTCTCGGGACGTGGGAGTGAGCGTTGCTGCAGGCGAGCGAGCGTGCACGGCCCCAGACAGCTGTGTCGGCAGGTGCCGTAGGGCGTGTTCTGTGCGAGGCTGTGGCCGTGTCCCGCGCCTGTCGAACATGCTGTTCCAAGGACATGTCCCCTAGGGAGCTGACGTTCAGTAGTTTGGGGCTCCGAGCTGACGGTCCTCCAGTATTAAGGATGTTCTTTTAAAGTTCTGTGTGTGCTTATCGACACAGTCGGGTGGTGGGAGCCTGTGAAGACCAAGCAAGGAGGACATCCCCGGGGATGGAAGCGGAGTTCCGGCTCCCCCTGCCTCCGCATCCAGCCCACAGCCCCTCTGCAGCCCCCCTGCGGCCCCCTGCAGCACACATGGGGCTTCTGTGCACGGACGTGCGTCCGGGAGACGCGCATCCTGGGCGCCTCGTCTTCCTTCCCTCCCCGCGTAAGCCTGGACATTCCGTTTTCTTCTCCCGTTGCTTCCCTTCATCGGTAATGTTGACCGTAAACTCGGGGGGTGCTTGGCTGTGACCCACTGTGTAGCACAAGCTCCCACCTTGGCCTTTCCCACCCGTCCGCTCTGTGCTCGGTTCCGCGACCACAGGCACTGCCCAGGCAGCACACGCTCTGTTGTGGGAACTAGGAGAGTAACAGTGAGAAAACCTAGTGTCCTTCCAGAGATCATGAAGCTTGCCTGTGGCTCCCTGAATAGAAAATGAGGTGGAGTGGACAGGTGAGAAGGGGAATGTCCCTTGGGCATTCTGCTGCCATTAAATAAAAGGCTGAGAGGTGGAATGGGGCGTGCTGCGTAGACCTTACCAGGTTCCCTGGGTTCGGTAAGCCGGCTCAGAAAATCACTGCTGGCGGGCTGGAGAGTAGCGAACTCCGACAGCAACTGGCATGAGAGGGTAGGAGCCCCTGTTTTGTCCACTGTGGCAGTGGCCTGATGGTTGGGTTTGAAAGTCCGAGTCTGACAGACACCGTGAAGTATTGATGGTAAGTTGCTAGTATCTGGGATCCCCTGCATGATGCTTCTAGAAAAGGAGGCGGGATCTCAGGGTTAACTGCTGAAGCTACGGAAGAGCTGGTTACAGACCTGGCTTTGGGGTTCATGGGGGTGGTTCGCGGGGGTGTACCCTGGCTTGCGGAAGTGTCCCTACAGAGGGGGCACCATTGGCCTCCTGAGGGGCTCCCGGAGTTTCTGTGGCCCCAGGCAGATCCTGGTGGGCCTCTGGGGCCTGGTGTGGATTCGGGCCTCCTCCCGCGGCTGGGGTTAGGCTCCGGGTTTTGATCTCTCCCGTGCCCGAGTAGCCAGCCCACGGCCTTGCTGGTTCTCTGGGTCGGTGGGCAGGGGCTTTAGGCTTCTCTTGCTCAGCCTGAAGGGTCAGCAAGAGGTCCCCCAACCTCAGTCCCCAGGGGCCTTCCCTGTCTGTGCCACTAGGGATTCCCCACCCCCTTTTCTGGTTTAGCACATTTATGTTTCAGTTTTCTTGTTTTTGGTGTTTTTAGTCTATTGCAAGAAGGGGAAGATCTGCATCCTCTGGCCCCTGGCAGGGCAGCATGAAATCATGTCCTCGTGGCTTCTCTGCCGTTCAGTCACAGTGGACCGTGTCCGTGCTTAGCGCTCAGGTGCGCCCCAGATGGGATGTTGGTGTTTTTTTGTTTTTGTTTTCTTTTTCTTTTCTTTCTTTTTTTTTTTTTTAAGGATACTGGGAAGGCTGAGTATTTTCTAAAGTTTCTTGTGCACATTTTTTGTTAGATTGGCCGTGACTTCTTGTCTGGTACATCACACTTCAATGTGTGTAGGTCTTGTTGTCCTTATGTTTTAGGGATGTGGGGGTAGGGAGAGAGTGCCAGAAGGCTCCCTAAGGCTGCTCAGGAGTTCTCTGGTAAACCTGGGAACCTAGGCCGCTGCCGCTCTGCTGTGAGGAAGTGTCCCCTCCGGGCATGGCTGTTCTAGACACTGGGATGCGTGTGGGGCAGGCCCTCGTGTGGCTGTTGGCGGGGACCCTGCCGAGCCCTTGGCCTCCGCCTTGTGCCGCTGGCGGATCGGGGCAGCAGTGTCCTGCCAGCTGGGGGCGTCGGTGTCGCGGCAGGGCGGCTTGCTTACAGGGCACCGCAGGCCCTTCCTTACCTCAGGGCCCTCCGTCGGGAATGGCACACGGATTTGCGGGAGATGTTCGCAAGCCCTCCCATCCAGCTAGGTGCCGCGCAGCACCCGGCAAAGCTGTGGGCTCCCTTGGGAAAGGGAGAAAGACCAGTGTTTCCACTCTGCCTGCGTTGTCTGGCTCTCTGCTGTTCTCTGTGTGTTTTTATATAATGGTAGGGCCTGAAACTTTTATTTTTTAATTTTTTTAAAAGATTTTATTTATTTATTTGACAGCACAAGCAGGCAGAGAGGCAGAGAGAGAGAGAGGGGGAAGCAGGCCCCCTGCTGAGCAGAGAGCCCGATGCGGGGCTCGATCCCAGGACCCTGAGATCATGACCTGGGCCGAAGGCAGAGGCTTCACCCACTGAGCCACCCAGGCGCCCATGAAACTTCTTTTAAAGAAACTTCCTTGTAGTTGTCCGAGCGCGTGCGTCGAATACTGTTGCCTGTGGGGTCGCGAGGTGTGTCTGAAGTGAAGTGAGGCAGTTGGCAAGTGATTGGCTCTCACGGTCGAAGGCGCCTCAAGGCAGCAGCACGTGTGTTGGGAATTGTGGTCTCCGTGGCTGCCGTTCAGGCACCAGTGCGCTCCCCTTACTTCCGTTGGTGCTCGTCCCCTAGAGTACGGTTTGGAAGATGAGGAGGCATCGTCAGGGAGAGCCGAGCCGGTTTTGTCTGTAGTTCCGCACCGGGCTGCAGACGCGCGGTGGGGAAGGAGGGTGCGGTCGTAGAACGGATGCGCCGGCCCTCGGGCTTCGGAAGGGATTCTTCTCTCCCGGAGTCTCTTCCGTCCTGTGGGCAGACGGCTGAATTCTTTCAACTGGGGCACCACCGTTCGGTTTTTCGGTTTCAGCCCTTTGGAAGACCTTGACAGTGCAGCGTTGAAGGAAGGCTTCGGTGCACAGTTGTGCAGGAAGGGGGGGCCCACAGCGTGTGTGCGTGTTCGGCTTTTGGGGTTTCTTTCGCTAGGAAGACAATGGCAGCACTGGACAGACGGTTCGAATTCGGGGCGCGGGGCTTGCGGAGCGTTGGCGGAAGTGCAGGGAGATGGCGCACGGGCCGCTGGAAGGTTGCTGAGCACAGCCCCCCCGGGCCAGAGCGCGGATTTATGCAGGGGAGGTGGGTGGGCACCGTACGGACGACCTCTCTTAGGACACGCCGCTCAGGATTTCTCCTCGCCCTTGCTCCCTGCCGGCCCCCGGAGCCTGGAGGAGGAACGGTGGGCGACGCGCACCATCCCCCCGAGGGCCGTGTTGTCAGTCAGCAGACGCTGCTCTGATAGCTGTCGGGCCGCGTAAAGCTGGGCCACGCACGACGCTCGCCTCCCTGCCGTCCTCAGGAGTGCGATCACCGTCCTCTCCGGGGCAGACGTTCTTAATTAAGGCTTCCGGGTGTCTTGTCTGCTGTCCCTGCTGGGCGTGGCTCTCCTTTGCTTATCGCTTGGAGGCAGATCCCACCTGTTCAGAGACACCCGCGTTCTGAGTGCTCCGGAGTCTGCAGGGATAGTCCAGACTGGGGGGTCGCCGCCTTCGTCTCTATTCTGTGCCCCTAGTATTTTGTCTTCACGACGCTCCTGAGTTGTGGGTGTGGCTCTGCGGGTGTTCTTTGACCTGCTGCCAGCAGTGAGCGCGGTCTGTCAGATGTCGAGTCTGGATGGGGTGTATGGGGTGAGCGACGGATGGGGCGGGGAGACGCTGGCTCCTGACCTCAGCTGAGCACGAGGGGGAGAGACGTGGGTCTCTGTTCGGCTTCCCTTTTTGGTGGGTCGTTTCAGCAGCGGCTCCCGGACCCGTCGCTCTGGGCTGCGTGGGGCTGGCGTGTTTGGGGGTCTCGAGTGCCGGTCAGTAAAATGTGTTACGTTTTCATTTCAGAAAAGCCTGTGTCACCCAAGTCAGGAGCGCTGAAGAGCCCTCCCAAAGGATTTGACACGACTGCCATTAACAAAAGCTATTACAATGTGGTGAGTAATTGCAAAACCTGTTTTAAGAATAACTTGTTATTTTTGAGTGTGTCCACCAGTCTGTGACGAGGCATGCAGGTGAACCGTACGGCACGAGGGAGGGCGTAAAAATGGCCTGTGACCGGCCACAGTCACAACCACCTAATGTTCTGCCGTCTTCTCTTCTCATCTCTCTTTTGTAATCATCTGTTTTTGTTTCAATATTTATGTAGAATTGTGCCATTTTTGTCACATACTGTAGGATTCCCTTCTCCCATTTCCAGTCTTCCAAGAGGAGATTGTGGAAAGGCTCACGATGTGGTTTAAAGCCATTACAGGCATCAGGGGGCGTTTTACTTGTGTTAGACGGGAGTGTGAGCACTGGAGGTCCGTTACCGTGTGCGCTGGCGGGTCCCCTTGCGGAGTCTTTCCTGGGGTTGCTGTGCACATCCGTCAGCCGGTGCGGAGTCTTAGGAGAGGGTCTCCACGTACGTAGGGTGAGTGTTTCAGAGTCTGAAGCTGCATTTGGAGCTTAGCAGTTTGTGAAGTCTAGTCGAGTCCTTCCTGGCCCCTCAGCCGTGCCGTGGGCTGCAGAGATAGGAAGTGCTCCTGTTTATTTGACAACCCTTTGAACTGTGGCATAGATCGGTGTGCCAGGCCAGCGAAGTGAACTTTGTCACTGCGGATCAGTCTTACCCCGTGGAAAGTCTGCATCTGGGGTTTCTTCCCCGCGCCAAGTCTTCCAGAGAAAGTGTCCTGCCCGGGGCTGTCCCTCCAAGGGCTCGGTCCCTCTGGGCTGGTGCTGCTGCGAGCGGTCCTGAGGGGCTCGGTGTCGGTGCGGCTGGCGGGGAGGCCGAGGACACGGGAGGCTGGGCCTTGAGTCCACATCCCCGGCGCACTGAGCGCGCTGTCCGTGGGCCGCGGACCTCACTGGGCGCCATGAGCTCCGGACGGTCGGTTGTCGGAACGTGCATCGGTTCGTAGCTGCTCCGCATGGGCCTGGCGGGGGCAGCGGCTTGTAGCCGTGGGCAGAGGTGCAGCAGGGCGTCTCCCCGCTTCTCACCCGTGGGTGCGGTTCGTGGCTTCTTCTCCCTGCCCCCACCCTCGTGTCTGCGCTGCCTCTGCCTGGTTTCCCTTCCGTGCTTCTCAGTCCGCAGCCTTCGTGCGATGCCCTGGCCATCTCAGGTTGGTTCCTTCCCGTTGGCCGAAGCCAGGCTCCTCTACTGAGCAGCCCTTCCCTTGAGTCTCAGCCTCTGCTTCTCGCACTTCAGTTTTTCTCCCAGTGTTCCCTGCTCCCGCTGAGCACGGGCTGCCACGCCGCCTCTGCGCCGATGGAGCGCCAGGCCTCCCCGGCACAGCCCGTACCCCGACTCGGGGGGCGCCCACCTTTCCCGGTCACGCTCTGCCCTCCACCGTACTCTTTGGTTCTTTGTTGGCTGTTTGTTCCGGGAACGGGGCTCTGCGGAGAGCATTGGTTTTCCGCGTGTGTTGTGCTCCGTGCGTGGCTCTGTGCACAAGGCCACGGTAAGAGTCATCTTGTGGCTCTTCGGGGTTTCACAGGACGAGGACTGTGGTGCTGCTTTTTCCTCTTGTGTTCGTATGTGGGACGTTGGTTTCTTTCCAGGGAAGGCTTCCTGTGGCGAGTACCAGTCCTCCCGCGCCGTGGTGCTCTGAAGGTTGGCTCTGTGACTGCTGCTCCTGTGTGATGGTCGAGACAAGCCCAAAACCTGGGGGTACAAAGTGATTCTGGGGGACTTAAGACTGTCACGGGACATTCGTCCTGTTTCCTCTTCATGGGACTCCCGCTGCGCACGTGGTCAGTGCACTGGTGTCCGCCAGCTCTCTGAGGTGCTCTTAATGTTTCTTCGTTTCTCTCTGTCCTTCAGACCGAATAATCTCTACCGTCCTTTTTGTTGGCCGTTCTTCCACATTTCAAATCTAATGTTGAGCTCCTCTAGTGAATTTTTCACTTTATCACACCTTTCAGTTCATCATTTTCCATTTGCATTTGTTCAAATTTTCCATTTTTTAAAAAAGACTTATTTATAGTGAGTGCGCAAGTCCGTGGAGGGGAGGGGCAGAGGGAGAGCGAGAACTGGAAGCAGACCCTGCTGAGTGTGGAGCTGGACACGGGGGGCTTGATCTCATGACCCTGAGACCACGACCTGAGCTGAAATCAAGAGCTGGACTCTTAACTGGCTGTGCCCCCCCAAGCGCCCCGACGTGGTTATTTTTATAGTCGGCCTCAGACTGTAGCCCTTGTTTGACTTGAGTCCTCGTTGGACTTGACTCTTTGAGAGCAGGGCTAGGCTCGCAGTAAAGTCGGGAGGATGATGGCGATCCCGCGGGCCTCCTGCCTCCAGATGTGCACGGCTTCCCCCGTGCTCAGCATCTCCGGCGGCCTGATGGCGCTCCTTTTAGTGTAGGACAGTAACTCACTGTCTGGATGGACCGGTTCATCCATCACCTGCTGGAGGACATGGCACCTGCTTCCACGTGCCGGGAGCTATGAGTAAAGATGCTGCAAACCTGCGCGTGCTGGTTTTTGTGTGCACGTGTTTTCTGCTCCTTTGGGTAAAAACCAAGGAGGGCTGTTGTTGGGTCGTGTGGTGAGAGCATGCTCCATTCTGGAAGACGCTGTCACACTGTCCTCTGGTGGAGGACTCCCGTGGGCTGTCTTCACTGTGTCTGGTGCCGTCCGTGGTTGGGGTTTTGCTGAGGTACTAGGTGGGCGTGCTGTCTCCTTGTTGGTGACAAAGGACGGGAGCATCTTTTCATGTGCTGGTTTGCCATTTGTGTGTTTTCTCTTGTAGGGTTTCTGTTCAGTTTTCTGTCCATTGTACAGTTGGGCTCTCTTGCTGAGTTGTACGAGTTCTTTGTGTTTTGGAGAACAGTCTTTTACCAGATGTGTCACTTTCCCCCAGAGCCCCTCTGATTGCAGTTTGAGGACAGCGGGCACCGGTGTCGCTTTTGTGGCGTTTATCCTGCTTGGTGTGTTCTGTGTTTCCTGGGATCTTTGGCTTTGGTGTGTGACGCTGATTAGGGGGAATTCTCAGTCACCACTGTTCAGTCTTAATGTTCCTGCTCCTCCCGCAGTCCCGTTATGTGTGTGTCGCACCCGCTGCTGTCCCACAGTTCTTGCACGTTCTCTTGTGTTTTCCTGTGTCTTTTTGGTCTTCAAGGATTCCATTAGGAGCTGGAGCGCCTGGTTCTTCGGCGCGTCTTGTCTGCTCACAAGACGGTCACACGTGTCCTTCCTTCCTGTTGGTGTTTATCGGTGTGCGGTCCTTATGCTTTCCGTCTCTTCGCCAGCTTCTCTTGCATGTGGCCTGCTTTATCCACTAGCGCCCTTAGCGTATTAATCGTCGTGATTTTCAGTCCCTGCTGGGACTGTTCCCGCATCTCCATTGGAAGCCCAGGGGCATTTTCCTCGGATATTTTGGGAACGTGGCGAAACCCCTGGACGTAAATTCCCCAGCGTTGTGGGGGCCGCTACAGCTGGGTCTCCTTGGAGTTGTTACCGCTCAGCTTGTCCGCCCTGAGCCTCCAGCCATCTGTCAGTTCTGGTTCCTGTTTTCCAACCCAGTTGTCGCTCCCAGGCTGGTTTCTGCTGAGGCCCTGGGCCCCAGTGAGTAGGACTCTCAGTGTTTGCCTGTCGGCCTCGCCAGTCTTGGGTTTGGGGGTTTGCCTTGTGTCCTGTCCTCTCTCCCATAGGGATCCAAGACACGGTGATGTTTTCAGTCTGTTCATCTTTTTTACGTGGTAGGATGGAGTGATGATTTCCACCCAGAAATGGGCAGACTGGGAAGTCCCTGTGCGAACACACGGAGAGCAGCTGTAAGGCAGCCTTTTCGGGCTGTGCCCAGCGTTGGGGCCCCTCAGCCTATTTCCTTGCAATGCCTGGCTTCCGTGCATGGGTCACATTCTTGGTTCTTTGTGAATCTCGTGCATTTTCACTAAAAAATTGGACACTTTAGATTTTAGTAATTCTGGATTCTGAGTTCTACTCCCAGGATTGGTTGTTACTTTTGTTTGCTGACGGACTTTGACTAAGTCTGCAGCGCGTCCCCCTGCGGGTACTGAAGGTTCTTTCTGTTAGCGCTTGGCCTCTTAGTGCTCATCTTCAGAGCCGTAGAGCTGAGTATGTGGCCCAGGGTGCTCAGAGGTTGTGCTGGACAGCCTTCCGCTCTCTGCCAGCGGGTCTGGATGTGGTCGACGAGCATGCTGGGCGGACAGGAGGCTTTTTAGGACCTAAAAGCAATGAATGAAAACAGAAAATACCAAAATTGATTAGGCTTCATAAAAGTTCAATAAATTCTTTGCCTTCGAACAGTGGAAGCCAAATTACAAGTTAATTGGAACATCTGTAGCAGTTACAGCAACACAAGGTTATTCTTGAGGACTGAGGAGCTCATTAATGCATGTGCATTAGGGTTAGTGGATAAACACGAGAGAATGAGAGAGTGTAACACTGGAAACGTGGTTGGTGGTGTTGGACCCGTTTGGGCTGCTGTGACAGCGCTGTGGGCTGGCGGAGTCCTCCCAGTACGGAGGCTGGGGGTCCGAGATGAGAGTGCCAGCCTGCTTGGGCTTTGGGGGGCTCCCCTCCTCCTGCCTGACAGAGGGCTGCCTTTGGTCAGACCTTCACGTGGCTGAGAGACAAAGCCGGCCTCTTCGTCCCCTGGGTCTCCTTCGTCCCCTTATGTGTACTGCCCAAAGGCCCCATCTCCAAGGGCCACCACATTGGGGATTTCAGGATGCCCAGAACATACACATTTTGGGAGGACACAAGCGTTATCGACAGCACTCTGACGGTGTGGTTAAGCTTTCATAAAATTTTGGTAGCAGCCGTTTACGTATCTGACGAGCAGAGGTTGAAGAGAATCCCTGCTCTGATAGTGGTGGACGTGTCGGTCCACGGTGCTGCTAGGAAGCGCTGGGTGTAGAATTCTGAGAACCGCCAAGCCCCGTGGTACAGTAATGCTAGAGGAATTAGCTCAGATGTGTTTAATGATGTTTGT